TTCCGATCTCCTATGGTCTACAACTCCAGGAGTCTCCCCGAGCCGAACAGCCTCGCATTACGGAACATAGGGGTTGGTGGGTTTAGGGTTTAGGGTTGAGGGTTTAGGGTTTAGGGCTTAGGGGTTGAGGGCTTAGGGTTAGGGTTTAGGACTCAGGGTATCTACACGCAGAGCCTGAAGTCGGCCTTGTCAGGAGGGAAGTTTGGGAGCCTGCAGCTGATGCTCCAGTTGCCGATCTAGACCCAGACCACCGGGAGGATCCAAAAAATAGATCCCCCAATGGGGTTCCTATAAAGTACCCTTTAGTAGTTAGGGTCCCAAATTAGGGGATCTACTTTTTAGATCCTCCCGGTGGCCTGGAAATTCGGGCGCCGGCGATGACCTGACCGGCTTTCAGGAGGGAGTACGAGCCAGCGTCCTGTGCAAGCTCTGAGAGTCGCAGCAGCTTCCGGATCTTGTCCTCAGTTTCCCAGTATACTATAATTATAATAAGGAGCCCCAAAATAGTATAGGTAATTATTAAGGCCCCTATATTCTTTCTAAAGGCTTATGAATACTATAGCCCCGATTAGGCCGCCACTCCAAGCAGAACACCTTCCAAAAGCTGGCGATTCAGACCCGAGCTAAGTCCCAAGCAGTTTCGGGTTTGGGGTTTAGGGTTAAACCCTAAATCCTGAACCCTAAACCTTATGGCTTCTGTATGGGCCTAGGGTTTCAGAATGCAGGCTTTCGGTTGCGGGCTCCTGGGTTCAAGATTTGGGAGTTTCCGAAAATTAGGGGTACCTTATTTTGGGGTCCTTATAATAAGGATCCTACTATTTAGGGTACTGTATTAGAGTCCCCCATTTTCGGAAACCCCCATTTGGATGAGGACATAACCTCGAAGCCTGACTGAGTCATAATCAAACCATTGTATACTGGGTTGCTACTAAGGGTTTCGATAATAAGGACCCACACTTACGGCAACTTATAAGCCCTAAACCCTAAACTTTTTGGAACTCTTGAGACACCCTTCTAGCTCCCTTGAGGGAACCCTTGTAGGTTCATTGAAGGAACCCTTGTATATCCCCACGTATGGTAACTACAGCCCTAAACCCTGAACCCTAAACTCTAAGCCCTAAACTCTAAACTCTAAACCTGAACCCTCAACTCTGAACCCTAAACTCTGAATCCTAAACCCACTTATGGGAACTGAACCTAAGTTCCTTAAGGGCAACCCAGTCCCTGGTCAAAGGAAACTACAGGTGGGGAGTGCAGGGTATATAGGGCTTCCATGAGGCTTCCATGGGGTATATAGACCATCTATAAACCCTAAACCCTAAACCCTAAACCCTAAACCCTAAACCCTTAAGGCTCCAAAAACGGTAACTACCCACCTGAAAATGTCCTAGACCTGGTCCGGCTCACCGGAGAGGTCTTGGTTTTCGGCTATCGGTTTAGGGATTTTAGGGCTTTTTGGGGTTTAGGGTTTAGGGTTTAGGGTTTAGGGTTTAGGGCTTAGGGCTTTTTGGGGTTTAGGGTCTAGCGTCTGCGGTTTAGTGTTTAGGGTGTTCAGGGTTTAGGGTGTTTAGGGCTTGGGGTTTCGGATTCAGGGTATAGGGATCAAGGTTTGAACTTCAGGTCGGATTTACCCAGTTTACCCTATGCCCTAAACCGTAGGGCTTGGGGCCTAGGCTTCAGGTCCGGTCTCCCTAAACCCTAAACCCCTAAATCCTAAACCCATAAACCCCTCAACCCTAAACCCCTGAACCCTATAAACTCTAAACCCCTAAGCCCCTAAACCCTAAACCCTGGCGTCAGAGTTGTTCGAACCAGCAAGCCTCCTAGTCAGTAGGCTTGAAGCAGAGATACACCACACCTTACTCGGAATGAAATTTAGAAGAGACTGAATAAGTTTCCTTTTCTGCTTTGATCTCAACAAAGTTATCCAAAACCTTGTTCTTTTCTTAGGACCCCAGGGTTGGCTGCCAAGATCTGCTAGGTAAGGTCCAGGGAGGGAAACGCCCACAACGTGCGCTTAGTTACTTCATATGGGGGCCTTAATAATTAGAATAGGGTTTTAGTGCACCACTATACTATAATTATGATAAGGAACCCCCAAAATAGTGTTGGTAAGTATTTAGGCCCCTATATTAGTTGCCGAGTTCAGAAACCCAAACAAGTTGAGACTCCCACAGCGGAGGGGGCTTGCGTACCTCAAGAAATCCACAGTTTACAACTTCTGCGACTAAGACTGTCATGCAGGGAATATTCCCAGAATCACGATGTAAGGAAACTGGACCTCCCAGTAAGCCCAGCTGAACCGCTACCCTAAACCCTACAAGCCCTAAACCCTAACCCTAGAAGACGGAACCCTACAAAGACACTGGAAATGTCTGCTTTAAAGGAACCTCTTTTTGGGAACCTCTTTACAGGACCCCTTTAACGGAGCCCCTACTCCCCTTTAGAAGGAACCCTTTAAAAGGAATCCCTTACAGGAAGTCCTAAACTCAAAGGCATACTGAACGCCACCTCAGAACTACACCCTCCAATCCGTCATATATAACACTTATAGAAGGCTCATATAACCCTTATACAGCCCGTATATAAACTTAGGGCTGGTGCAGCTGCTGTGATTCAGTGATTCATTCGATTCAAGTGACCCTCCCTCCCGCCGCCGCCCTCCCGCCCCCATCCTCCTCCCTCACTCCTTCCCCCTCCCTCTCGCCGGTTTTGCTGCTGGGGGTGGTGGGGTGGGTGGGGCAGGGCGGGTGGGTGGAGCACACCACCTTTGCTCCACCCGCTTCCGCTACACCACCCACCCCACCCACAACCCACCCAACCCCCAACCCCACCACCCCACCCCACCGCACCCCCACCAACGGCTTACCCGACGACGCTGCGCCCAAAGCCGGACCACCCATCTGCGTAACCAACGAGCGCCCTAAAACCGACCTGCATGTTCTGTTGAGCTTCTCAGAAGCCTGTTTCAAAAGACAATATAGAAGCGCCTTTGCTGAAAAATAGGGTTGCCAGTGCAGTTTCCAGGGCAGAGTCTCAGGGTGTAATTAAAAAGTCCTTAGACAAACCCTGAACCCTGAACCCTAAACCCTAAACCCTGAAACCTACAGGAATCCTTTCTTTAAAGGACTCCCTTAGGCAAAAAGCCTTTAGAGGAGGCCTAGACTCGGAGAGCCTCCATCGCAATCTCCGCGCCCGCCCCAATGGCAATCCCGAGATCGGCCTCCGACAGGAATACCAAAAAGAGGGCTTAGAGGGTTGAGGGTTTAGGGTTTAGGGGCTTATGGTTTAGGGTTTAAGGGTTTAGAGGGCTTATAAGGGTTTATGGTTTAAGGGTTTAGGGGTTTAGAGGGGTTAGGGTTTAGGGTTTGGGGGTTTAGGGGCTTTGGGTTCAGGGGTTGGGGTTTAGGGGTTTAGGGGGTTAGGGGTTTGGGTTTAGGGGTTAGGGTTTAGGGTTAGAGGTGAGGGTTTAGGGGTTTAGGGGTTTAGGGTTTAGGAATCTTTGCGGGCCTTAGTAGCTAGAATAAGGTTTCTTGAAGGGTTCTTTTAAAGTGCTACTATAAGGGCTAGTCTGCCCATATAGTATGTACATTAGCCCTAGGCCCGAAAGACTTTTTAAGTCCCCAAGCCCAAAACCCTGAAGCACCAAACCTCTAAACCCTCAAAACACAACACTTACATAAAAACCCAACCCTAAACGCTAAGACCCTCAAGCTCTAAAACCTCCCTCTAACCTTAGAGCCCTTAAGCCTTAAGCCCTCTAGGTTCCCCAGTAGCCTCTAAATAATAAGGGTACCCTTTTTCCTACTATCTTGTTTTTTTTCAGGGAGCCCAAAAAGAAAAAGGGCAAAAGGGTACCGGGTACTACTGTACTGGAGAACCCCCCAGGCCTTAAACCCCCCAAAGTCTTGCTTCTGTGAGGCCCCGGTCCTGGGCCAAGGCCGGGGCATCGTTGACGCCATCACCGACCATTGCCTCAAGATCCAACAAGACTGTCGGTTTAGGGTTTAGGGCTTAGGGTCTATAGGGTTCAGGGTTGAGGGGTTTAGGGTTTAAGTTTTGTTTTAATTTTGGGGTTTAGGGTCTAGGGTTTAGGGTTCAGGGTTTCTTATAACGCTTTATGGGTTTGATCGGTTTGGGGTTCTTGCTTTTCTCTGTGCGATTCTGCAAGGGTTCCGTTAAGGATTCCTTGTCTGGGTTATGGACGCCACGGAGACCCTCAGTAGCATTACCCCGCCACCCCGGTTGTTTCATCCCAAACAGTTCGCCTGCTACGGTGTTGGGAACATAGCAGCCTGAATCATGACCCACGTTATTCCGTAGGGTTCCATCCTATATGTATACTTTTCTACAGCAAAAGACACCACCCCATCCCTATTCCAGAAATCAAGGCCCCTATCTGAATCATCTTATCAGGGACCCCTCAGGATGAGGTGGACAGAAATCACTGTTTCCCTAAACCCTAAATGCTAAACGATACGCCCTAACCCCCAAACTGCAACCCCTAAGCCCTAAACCCTAAACCGAACCCCTAAACCCTGACTGACTTACTCCCCTAGAGCTTGAAAACTTCTAGACCTCCCGGCAGCCTTTTAAACCGAACGCAAGACTCAAGGAACGCCTCAGCCCTCAAACCCAGAAGATCCTGAGTCCAAAAAGAGGGCTCCCCAAACTCTGCTTAATTTCGGGGCCTTAACAGTAAGACTATTAGGGTCTGGGGTATATTATACGATAATTATAATACAGAGCCTTGTTTAACTAAGCTACCATATCCGACTTTTTTCTAGGTTATTATTGTAAACCCTAGAAGGGGATTTATAGGGACCCCACAAAAAAAAGTAGGTTTCGGTAGGTTAAGGTATAGGGTTTAAGGTTTAGGAGCCTACCCCGAAGTCGGTTCCCACTTGAAACGTAGACAAAAAGTCCTGGAGATCCCTATGTATCAGAACCCATAACCCAGAAAGGGCACTCCAAGATTCCGACCCAACAACTTCAAGGTAAATCCTACACCCTAAACCCCAAACTCTAAACCCTAGTAACAAGTCCAAAACTCCACCGAAACGAAAACCCTAAACCTTAAGCAACATTTACGCAATTACACCGAACCTCAACAGCACTTCAGATTCCAGCGCCGTGGTGCTACAAACCTCCGGCCCTCCTCTGCAGGCCGCACCTGATGCGGTAGCTTATGGGGTTCGGGGTTTAGGGCTTTAGGGTTTAGAGTTGAGGGTTTTGGATTTAGGGTTTAGGGTTTAGGGAAGTTGTAGTAAAATCATATAGGGGCTATAAGGTATTTATCCCTGGATCTAAAACGTAGATCCCTTGAGGGGTTCCTATACGGTACCTATAGGCCATGAGAGAGCCTGATACGATTCTGCATGTGCTGTTTGGTAATTGCAAGTCGGGCTAATGCAATATAGGGACTTAAAGGATTACCAATACTATGTTGGAGGTTCCTTACTATAATTATAGTAGAATACTCCAAAACCCGATTCTAATTATTAAGGCCTCTTAGGTGCGTTTATAGGTTTGCCCAGGGCTCACATAGACCGCCTGGGATAGGTCTTTGGGGCTTGCGCGTGGAGCCCCCACACGACTCATGACTGAACAATGTGTGCCATTTTGGTTGACGAACTTGGCCGCAAGATGGTCGAACAAGGCAGTGTCCTGGCTGAGGTCTCCGTTGTCCGTCCACAGAACGGCTGACATGAGCACTTTCGGCTGAATGGCGGTTTGTTGCCACGTGCCCGGGGGACACGGCGAGGTCGGAGAGACCGGCGAACCCAGGACTCACGGTCAATCCACAATTTTAGCTCTCGGTCTAATTAGGTGAGACGGCATCATGGCAGAGGTCGAGAGCGCTTGCTGGAGCCTGGCTGGCCGCGATCTCCCTTGTGCAGCTGCTTGAGAATGGTCTGGGCAAGCGTGTAGTAGCCCCCATACGCCGTGCGAACAGGATTCTCCGGGGCCTCCGTTGCCCGAGGCTCCGTATCCCAGGCGCAATGGGTAGACCGAGTCTCCAGTGCATCCAGCATAGTCAACGAGAACAAAGCAGGGCGGTGTGGCCCGCAGCATTATGTTGCCGGCGTGAATGTCGGCATGAACCATGTTGCCCTGATGGAGCATCTCCAGGGCAGCAGAGACGTCGTACTTCAAGCGGGTGATGGCCTGAGACCCCAAACTCTGCGGTAACAGCCATACGTAGTCTGGGAAGTAGGGCCACCAGCACTTAGAATAGGGTTCTGGGATATATTCTACTACGCTACTATAAGAAGGACCCAACAAAAATACTGTTGATGATATAAATCCTGCATTACCTTAAGGACCCTAAACTGTGGACATTATGGCATGTTCCTTATTATGGGTAATGCAAGGATTTATAACGTCAACCGTAATATTTGTGTAATTCTTTAGGCTCTAAACCCTGCAGGGTCGCGAACGAGGGGGTAGGGGTATACTTTTTGGATCCTCCCTGCATGGGGATCTTGTGCCCTTTACCCTACTTGGAGGATCTTGGGCCTTTGTAAGGTTCTAGATACCCCAACTGGACTGCAATTATATGTACTTGCAGCAATAGTCACCTGATTTGTAAGTCCAGTTGCCAAGCTTCATGATCCTGCGAGTAAACCCTAAACCTTATGATAGAGCTCGGTGGCTGCCTGTCTCTAGCACCGGAAGATCAACCCTAAGCAATAGAGCCTCGGCAGCATCTAAAAAGTGGACTTCCTAATCTCTTGTTAGGACCCTTTGCTACGAAGAGATACTTTGCAGAAGCCTCTTTTAAGCATCGTCGGGTAGGATCCGGAATAGAAGGAATCCGAACAGGGATCCTATAAGCCTCCATAAAGCTTATAAGAAGTCCTCACAATTTAGGGTTTGGAGTTTAGGGTTTAGGGCTCCGCAAATAAGACGCCATGAACGCCACAGGCCTCAATGAATCCCTTTGGAAACCTCCGTTACACTCCATGAGTCCGTTCTAGCCTCCATGAGACTGCACGGCCCGTGAAAACCTCCCTATGGCCCTGCGGCCAGTAGAAATGGGGAGGCCTGAACAACTAGCAGCAGTATTCCTTAGGGTCCTTGTTGCTAGGATTCCTTGTTACGAGGATATTATCATGAGCCCCACAAGCTCAAAAAACTCTAAACTGGAAACCCGAAACCCTAGAAACCCTAAACCTTACTTCCCCAATAAGATAGGAAACTAAAAGGTTAAACAACTTTCAGACTCCTACTAAACTGTAAGAGCCCACAAAGTTTCAAGGTTGGGAATTGGAGAACTAAAAAAACCCAAACACCCTAAACCCTACAACCCTAAACCCTAAACCCAAACCCTAAACCCTAGAACCCGAGACCGCAAACCCGAAACCCCAAACCCTAAACCCGAAACCCTAGAAGTGCTAGAACCCTGGAGCCCTTAAGAACCCAAAACCTACTTTTTTGTAGGGTCCCTATAAATCCCATATCAGGGTTTATAATAAGAACCTACAAAAAAAGTGGGTTTTGGGTTCTTACGGTAGACCCCAAACCGGCCCTCAACAAACCTCGGTT